AGCGGTATCCTTTCTGAGCTTGTGGCAGTGGTTACAGAGAACATAAAAGAGCTTACCAGCTGACAGACAAGGTACTACGTGGATACAACATACGCATCGCCAGACGGACCCTGCCAGCACGAGGAAGTTCAGATTGACCCGACCTCCGAGCCCAAGGCAGCGACGGGCTCTTTGGAGGATGTAGGTATCAAACCACCTTCACTTTAGTCTAACTCCACCCATCGGCAGGCAAGATGAGTTTGGCCCGTGAATTAGGCTTTTCTGTACATTTTTACACACGAAAATAAAGTAATTCCAAGGACGCATTTTTTTTTTTTCAGATGACAAAATGTTTACCTAGATAAATCCTCCCTTTGCTGTGTATTTGTTGCAGCTTGTGCACTGGGTTTTGGGTCGGCAAACAACCTAAATACTAATTTCAGGATGCATTTTGCATGTGACCAGCTGGGAGGTACGGCAGCCTAGCATATGAATAGGACTATGGGTTAGAGAATCTTTGATAGATACGGTTATACGTGTATTAATTCCAAGTTCGGGGCTTTTTTTTCAGTAATTACTAGCTTGTCAGGCTCCTGGGCTTTCTCCTGAGGTGAGCCGAGGAGCTGCAGCAGCTTCTCCCTCCCAGAGCGGAACGCCCCGGGTGACCGGCCGGCTGTGCAGAGGACCTGCGTGGCAGAGGACCTGCCGCTTTCTTATCAAGTCCCACCAGGCCTGGGGGAAGCTTCCCAGCGCAGGGTTTGCTGGTCCCTGCTGGCGCTAGGGGCTGGGCGTGCAGGGTTAGAGAGCAGCTGTAGCCAGGCTCCTTGCCCAGGACAAGGGAGGGGAGCATGGTTGCCCTACTCGGGGCTTGGGAAAGCCTCGCTTTTCCTCACCTTAGACTTACTTACATGCAGTTTTGAGAATAACAGCCCCTGGTCTATTCATGGCCGGAGAAAGGCAGCGACCAGAAGGCCTGCCCACTTTGCACAAGGGCAAGGACACAAGCGATGAACCAGCACTATATAGGGGATGGGGACGTTGTACTAAAGCTTCCCAAAACACTGCTGCTGAAGGTAAGCCTAAAGGATACCTGAAGCGGGTGTGAGCCAGGGAGAGAAGAGTGGAGGAGAAGAGGGAAAGGCTGGAGCACCAAGCTCCTCTCCTCCCCCCAAAAGAAAGAGGGCTCTTGGAGTATTAACTCCTCGTCGGCTTTTGCTGGGAAGTTAGAAGGTGCACGTCTTCTCTGAGGGGCTGGGAGGGGAGGAGGGCAAATGCATGAAATGCAGGCCTGTTTGTAGTAGGTAAGGCTTTGGTTTTTTCTACCCTGTGGTGTTTATCTGTCCCCGTGGATGAGCATCTCAGAATTTTTCTAACCTTTGCAGCAGAGTTGCTCTTTGCAGAGAGAAGAGCATCCTTGTGCTGTTAGCTGTGCTACTTGCAATCTACTCACACAGCAGGATTTACATCAAGAATACTTGTTTCTATCCACTGAAATGGTGGATCCAACTCCAGTGTACATCCTCGACTTGGGGTGTAGGGGTTACACGGTGATACCTTAGTAGGTTTTTTTAAAAACTCAGTTTATACAGTTGGATTTTCTTATATTTCTAACTCAGTTTTATTCTGGGAGGGAGGCATATAGAAAGATAATGCAGGACTCAGTGTTTCAGTGACTCCAAATTTGCCTACCTTGCATTTAACAAAACCCAAAACCTCCTACTGATGTGGATGATATTTGAGCCTGAGCTTTTTCCTGCACCAGCAGGGAGAATAGAGCCCACAGGCTGAATGCTGGTGTTGGTAGCAGCCACTCAAACTCCCCGTCTCTGGTGTACTCGCACAGGTACAATTAAAGCTCTAATTTGCCCTGCTTCACATTTATTACTGGTAGTAACGTGTAAGGTGGAAGTACGTCAGGTTAGCTATCAGCTGTCCTGTGACAGCGGCTGTTTCCCAAACCAATTGTAGATGCAACAAGATTGAATGTGAAAGGGGATGAGGCAGCCCTCATGCAGAATTTCGCGGTGCCAATTTTACACTGTCCCTTTGAAGAACTGCACTTTATGAATATATACACCGAAGGCCTCATCCTGCATTACCCAAAACTGGTGAAAGGAATAAAGCTCGAGTGTGGCTTTGGCAGTCCTGTTAGCTCTGTCAATGAACCTGTCATCAAAACGGCAGTAAAAAATATCTTCAGGAAACTGCTCTTTAACACGGAGAAAGTGCTGCTGGCTACAATTCATTTATAAGCCAAAGTCAAACATTACACAGGAAACCTAAACTGCGGTTCATTCTTAATAAAAGCTAGAAGATGGAATTGGATAATGAAAATCCAGTTACTACAGTGAAGACCAGTTAAGAGACAGAAGATTTTACAGGAACAAAAGACACTTCTACTGCAAACAAGCTGGGACACGTTCTACTCATACAGAGGTCAGCGCTCGGGTGATCAATACAGAATCAAAACAATACTTTAGAAAGATTTAAGTCTCTGTCTTGATATTGTATCAATGTATTTATGTATCTATAATTTAGAGTATATTATTTACATATTCAACACCAGATTGCAATAAAAGTCTTAACCTGGTAAATTATTCTATAGATGGCAACTTTGGTTGGAGGATAGTTTAAAGATACACACAGATTGTTTCAGGAATACAGTGGATAGCTTTTTTTTCCTTACATTCTATGCTGCTGTGAGACACTGATTTTTGCAGAAATACTGGCCCTGGAAACCAAATCCACGAGAATGACAGATCTTGTGGGAGAGAGAAAAAGAAAGTCCACCTTATCCTGAATGCTTATATGGCTTTTTTTAATTATAATTATTATTTTGACATACCAGACTATACCTTGGGCAGCCTAGGCACTGTACTCAGCTCTTCCCCAACACTGTTTATTTCATGCCAACATCTTTAAAAGAGACGGCAGTACTTGTGACAGGTTTAGAACTGCCGAACACTGAAATTGGCTCCCAGCGTGCACAGGCAGCAGCAGCCTAGATCTGCCTCTCGAAAACCTGCCCAAGCACCTAAACCCCAGCTAGAGGAGACCTCCCTCTTGCCTGAGGGTTTCTCAGTTCTTCCTCCAGTAGGACTGCAAACTAGCACTGCTGCTGCAGTGGCACCTAACTGCACAAGAATTTCTCTTGTGAAAGGAGAAATCTGGAACGCTGTCACTTTTTAAAATTAAAAAGCCACCTTATTGTCCTATGTTACCTTAGAGCTTAATTTATTATACATTACTTTAAGGGTCTTCATTTACAAATGAAGTCACTTCATCTAAATACAGTTGCAACACATGGTACATAATAATATATGATGGTTTATTGTAGATGATGGTAACAAATGACTTCTATCTAGAAATTCAACAGGAAGAAAATATTTTGTTTCTGGTTTCACAGGGTACAGATAGAGTATCCGTGGTATATGACTGCTGAGAAGTTTTCTTCTTTGCAAAAGCATGTTAAAAGACCTCATATATATCCCATTCCATCAAAAGAATCATTAAGCAGTAATATACAGAAGTGTGAGAGTTCACAGGCTTTTCTAAAGTGAGTCAAACAGAGGTTTGTTCACTAGAGTTTCTGGTGAGCAGCTCACTGCAACTCCATTAATAAGTGCATTATTTTATTTGCATGCTTTAGCTGTCTTGAAGATCTTAAATTGTTATCTTCTGAGATCCAGATGCATGCCATATGGTGTTTGTGCAACTAAAAATGAAGGGGTCTATTCTCGTCTCGATGTGTGGGGAATCCCTGAACACCAAGAGAAGAACATATCCTTAAGGGTTAAAGGAGGGAACACATTTTTATTTGATTACAGGGCTTACGGGAGTGACTTACATTTGCTACAAAGAATATAAATCAAAAGATCTGTAGGTTGTTTTAGAATTCTGGAAACGGCTTATCTTAGGCTTCACAACGCCACCCCTCAATATAACTTTTCCTAGCAAACTACTTTCAAACTGAATTTTAAAAAGTAATACTTTTGTTTGCTGTAACACAGAGCTGCACAAACATCCTTTTCCTCCATTAAGACATTTACAGTGGCTTGCAGTGGTGCACTACAGAACTGGGCTGGAGAGGAGGTTGGACCATAAGAGACTGTAGACCTGCTATGACTACAGCCCCCCGCATATAAATCACATACTTTCTACTACCTTAACAGCAAACAGTTAAACACAAAGCTTGATTCGTATCACAGTTTTTTTTCTTGGGTGGGGGGGGGGACACGGGACCCAATAAAATACATAGATACTCCCTCTCCCCACAATATATTGCCCCGGTCCACCGTTTACAAGTAGATCTATCAGACAGCACTATATCCATTGCACTATCTTCTCAGGATAATTGTAAATAAAGGTGGTATCACTTTTAATACTCTTTTAAATAATCATATAAAAACTGATAGAGACTTAAGCCATCTCAATGGCTTAGCTAAACAGCCAGTCCTTTCATTAATTCTGGCACTGAGAAATGGAGAAGCAGATAGCCTCACCCCATCTCATTAGGGAATGCTTTTTACAAATTTGTGATGCTGTCTCTGAAAAAAAAATAAATCCTGTGCCCCTTTAGCAACCAAATGTGAATTTAATATCAACTCCGCGTGGCAATTTCCAGTTAGTAAATTAAATATGTTTTGCAATCTGTTTCACTATATTTGCCATTTAGGAGAGTAAAATGGGTCTGTGAAAAGTATTTTCTTCTAAAGAATTCATGATTGTCATTTAATTTATCCATCTATATTTTAGGCAGATGTCAATGTGAGTATTCAGATTTTTCAGCTTTTGTCATTCAACAGGTACCTGGAATTGCACTAGATTAAGCTGCTTTCCATATAAACCAACAGCAAACACAGGTTCTAGTGATACAGGCTTTACAAATCATTAGAAATTGAATAATACTATGCAAAATGGACACTGCAAAGCAACTTTCTGAATCTATCCAGGACAGACATTTGCTGGAGAGCAGGCAGAGCAATCTCGCAGAAGCATTATCACTTACAAAGCAAACTTACCTTGCATTAATGAGGTACTGTGCTAAGCTGATGTTTGCAGGGGATCCTGTGATTGTAACTTGTCGTTCTGCGGAGCCTTCTGTGGCATTAGCAATCTTGATCTGCGCTCCTGACATCTGCCTGATTTCATTTATCTTACTGCCTTGTCTGCCAATAATGCAGCCTATTAACTGGAGCGGGACAAAGACTGAGATTAGTGCCACAGACACAAGCAAAAACCACTTTTAACTGCAATTTGTAGTACTGATAAAAACATGGTTATGAAAGCCTCAATATCAAAACAAAAGATTTTTGCTGTGCTGTTTGGAAGGAGTAAGTAGCGCGGTCTATCGGCTTTATGGTCATATGTCTCTAAATCAAGTTTCGCTGCTACATGCTTGTCAACTTAATATCAGATTATTTAGCTGTCTTCAGTGGCAGAAAATGACAGTGTGCTGTGGTGCTGACAAATACAAAACACAGCCCAGCCTGACTTGCCAGTGGCAGCAGCAAGCCAAGAACAGCAGCTGGAAGTCAGGCTGACCACCCAAAACTGCCTCTGTGAGGCTCTGCACCGTTCCAGTGCGCTGCTAGTCCTACACCTCCCTGGGCACACGTGGTCTTCACTTGGCCAGGTACTGTGCCATTAAAGTCAGTGGGATTTACAGCTCAGTAACTGCAGGCAGAAGCAGGTGTAGGAAGAGACTGAACTTTGTCTATGTTCCTTTACAGAAACTTACCAAAACTCCTATTTCGTGAATAAAACTGAGCCTGAGATGTGTGTGTGTGTGTGTGTGTCCCTAGATCCCCTCAATTTTTTTTTTGTAAAGTTGCGTGGGTGTTATCTTCAATTAACAGTGTTTTAAAGGTTGTTTAAATGGTTTTGGTGGAGTCACAAGCTCTTGGAAGCTGTGTACAAGACCTCAAGAAAGTCACCAGCACACATAACCGCTGCAGCTGCAACTGGGGCAAGGGAGTATGATAGCCGTGCCGGGGTGTTGCTCCTCTGGCACAAGGAGCCCCCGAGAGCAAGTGGGCACCAAGTAGGCAGCTGAGGCTGAGAAGTTTTGGATGCTGTGAGGGTGAGGGGGGGGTGTGTGTGTCTTTTTGTTCAGTGTTAAGGAAGGATGGGTGCTGAGAAGCTCAGCAATGGCCAGAATGGGTAGAAAATGGAAACTTCACTTTACAGGTCTGTTGACACTGGGATGATGTTGCCAGTTTGGCAGAAGGACGTGCCAGGATGCAGAGACTGCCTTCCCCTCCTACCCTTCCCGCTGCTTCAGGCCCTGACGTGTTATCCTTTCTGGTACTTGGAGTATCTTGCCAGAAACCGATTCACATTTGTCCAGACATTTTATCAAAAGCAGAAATCCCCCGCAACGTAATCCTCAGGGACAAGCAGAAAGCTGAAGCAGGTACCCGGGTAGCCGAAACAGAGACCAAGCACAAGAGGAGCACCCGTGAGGAGGGGAAAGGGTTCCAGGAAAAACACACAGGATTTCCCATCCTCTTCAAAGTGGAGGGCCTCGCTGAGCTCCCTGTCCTTATCCTGAGGACCTGTCTTAGTGTGTGACTGCACGTGCCAGTGCAAAGGACCTATGTGAGCTTCACTGGGAAGCCTCTAGCCTGTCTCTGTGTGCACACAAATGTGCTTGCATACACTAGCTGTTAGCAGCACAGGGATCCCTAAGCATCCACTTCCTACACCTCAGTCTCACTGGGCTCCACGGTCCATAGGTAGTGAAGGTGAAGCAGGAGAGAAGAGCACCCAGAGCACAGGTGGTAGCACCAGAGCCAGCCAGTGGTGGGTTCTGGGTTTTATCAGAGTATGCCATCAGTGTGAGGAAAGCAAAGGCAGTCCTACCAGTCCATCATTGTACAGCAAAGCTGGCAGCACTAGATCCACTCTTATCTGTTACAACCTGGTGACGGACTTCCATAATTTTGTTCCTGTGAATCATTTGCATGCCATACTGTAGCTGCAATTTACCCAAGTCTGGTCAGAAGCATTCACTACTGCAGAAGCAGGATGGAGCACAGGGCGGGGGAAAAAACCTTGCGTCATCTTTACTTGACTGCTAGCTAGAGTTGTTCCCCCAGATATTGGAGTGGCTTGAAATGGCCAACAAGAGTGGAGGCTGCCACCATTTCCTTCTGCCACAACAAGCATCTAATTGTTTTTGCGATGATGATTCCTCATCCGAGGATGAGGAAAAGGCTGAGGTACTCAATGCCTTCTTTGCCTCAGTCTTTAACAGGCAGACCAGTTATCCTCAGGGTACTCGGCCCCCTGAGCTGGAAGACAGGGATGGTGGGCAGGATGAACCCCCCATAATCCAAGAGGAAGCAGTTAACAACCTGCTACGCCACCTGGATGCTCACGTCTATGGGGCCGGATGGGATCCACCCAAGGGTGCTGAGAGAGCTGATGGAGGAGCTCGCCAAGCCACTCTCCATCATTTATCAGCAGTCCTGGTTAACGGGGGAGGTCCCGGATGACTGGAGGCTTACCAATGTGATGCCCATCTACAAGAAGGGCCAGAAGGAGGATCCGGGGAACTACAGGCCTGTTAGCCTGACCTCAGTGCCGGGGAAGATCATGGAGCGGATCATCTTGAGGGCGCTCACAAGGCATGAGCGGGACAACCAGGGCATCAGGCCCAGCCAACACGGGTTCATGGAAGGCAGGTCCTGCTTGACCAACCTGATCTC